CCGTGTTTCCCCAAAAGCGCTTTTAAACTCGCTCATTTGAGATAGTCCCGCAGTGATTTGCTTCGTTTCACCCTTTCACCCACCCAGGCACATGATCCAGATCCAGATCCTCCTCATACTGCCTCTCTCGAATAGCCGTCCACGGCGTCGGCCACCCAGCCAGCACTGGGCTCTTTTTCGTGGCGCCCATGACGGCGAACCTCCCCTGCGAATGCGCAATGAAGCCGTGCATGAAGCCGAGCTGGATCAGCACCGAGACGTTCATCTCCACGTCATCCATCTCCACGGGAGAGTTGCCCCAGACCAGTCCTTCATTGGGACGCAGCTTCTTGGGTCCACCAGGCGGTGGGACGAGCGTCGAGGCCGCGTCGTGGCTTACTGCTTTGAGGAAAGCGGGGGACGCTGTCGATGGTGCGAAGGATGAGGGCGACTTGGAGGGAATGTAGCCTTCGAGGCGGTGTTGGAGGTACTGGGACGTCGCATGGAGGTCCGCGAGGTCCATTGTTGCGGCGCGTCGGTTCGTGTTGGAGGGGTTGGCGTCGTCTTGGCCCGGGGCATAAGTGAGGAGGAATGTCCTGCGGGAGAGGGAGCGCCAGAGTAGAGGCCGGAGTCGATGGGTGAGGACGAGGAGAAGGCCCTTGTCGAAGAGGTACTTCTCGTGCTGGGCCAGCGTGTGTTGGAAGAGGACAAAGTCGCCCTTGCGGATCGCTTGAATCAGTGGTTGATAGACGGGTACGAGGGCTGATGCCTCTGGGCGAGAAAGCAGGAGCTGGGAAGGTAGACGTCCCAGCAAGAAGTTGCAGGGGACGAGATAGCTGAGGACCAAGGCGCGATGAGATGTAAGGGGTGGAGGAATCTGAAGGTAGGCCTCTTCGAGGCAGAGCGCCGCGCGGAGGAAGTGGCAGTTTGCGAGGTTGAAACGGCCTAGGTAGTAGAGGAAGTTGACGCGCTGTGATGCCGGGTAGAATGATAATGGCGGTGAGTTTGTGGAGATGTTCGTGAATATTTGTTTTGCAAGATGTGTTCTCCGACACTACGGGCATGGATCAGTAAACGCGTATGGGGGCCAGGCAAACTGGGGTGTTGGGAAGAGAATTAGAAGACGTACGGCGAAGAGAAGCTTCAGCACTAGGTTGGCAAACATGTAAACGCCAACCTTTTTGCCTTCAGGCTTGCTGTAACGCGCGCTGGAGCGGTCCGTTAGGCAAGTGGTGAAGATCTTTTGGATGATCTCAGCCGAGGATTCGGCAATGGACTTGCGGTCGTCGGCGTCGACGTTACGGATGTTGCGCGTAAGATCCGGACGCTTTGACAACATCATTGTCAGGCGCGACAGGGACTCGCAGAGGGACATTGCCGTCTTGAGTAACATGCCTCCATAGGTAGGGTGAGCAAAGGCGGTACTACAGGAGCTGTGTGGGTGTTAGCTGATCGCTGCTTGTACTAAGAAAGACGCGGTTACGGGCCATGAGATCTGCTTCAACAGAGCTGATGAGGATTTCTCGTCGGCGACTTACTTTACCAGCCCACTGAGCAACGTGTGCGCGCCCAAAAGGTCATCATAGTCGACGTCGCGCCAGAAGACCATGTAGTCCTTCATAAAAGTCACGAAGCCTGGCCATGGCGAGCCCTGGCCCTCGGGCACGTCGTCCTCTTCGGGAAGGCATTTCTCAATCGTGCTCTCGAGCGCTGTGCTGCTTGTACCGTTGGCACCATGCCGTGATGAGCGGAACTGGGTTCGCAGCTCATTGGCGAGGGCGTGATATTGCTGGTTTGCGTTGGGCTCGACGAGGAGCCAATTCCGGAGCTCGTCGATGTTCTGAGCACGGACGAATGTGCGGATCTGGCTGAGGAATTGGATTAAAAGGGACATTGTTGGCACGGAACTGTGAAGTGCCAAAGGTGACGCTTCCTTCGGAAAGCGGGGCGAGGCCGCGAATCGTGAGAGAAGAGGTGAAGAATCCCTGCGGATTGTGATGAGGGTGAAGTCCAAGGTGGGAGAGCTCGAGCCAGACGAGGTGAGGTGAGTAGAGGTGGATTCTTCGGTGTACGGGGAACAAGGGTACGTGCTCGGTGAGCGGAGCCGTAAATGGACCTGGTCGGTCGTCACTTTTCCTGGGTAGCTTCAACGTACTTTGTCAAGGGTAACATTAACTAATGATCTGCGTCAAGTTTTCTACATGGGATATCGCATTTCCAAAAGCATCCGAGCACAGTCTGCTTTTCCATTTGGCTTCAACTTTTCACAATTTACGCCTTCTCATATAACGAGCCTCGAATCCGCTCTGATTATCGTAACCTGGGCGAAAAGTAGCTTCCAAGTCGTGCATGAAGCTAAGCATCTTGTGCAGGCCGCTTTCCTTTCTTACCCAGCCTGGACGATGCCGGAAAGTCTACCCGCAACGACGGACACATGTCCAGTTACACGGACTCGACGCGCTGCACGACGATCGCCGTGGCCGCGCCGCCTCCGTTGCAGATGGCTGCAACACCGTATTCGCCAGGCTTCAGCTGGTGCAGCAGAGTGACGATAATTCGTGATCCGGAGCTACCCAGTGCGTGGCCGAGGGAGATCGCTCCGCCGAGAGGGTTAACCCGAGCACCCTCCAATCCGAGAATCTACGCAATGGCTGTTAGTCGCGATTCACTGAATGCTTGAATGTGGACGCTTCACATACCTTTTCGTTTGCCTTGATAACAGCGGCAAAAGCTTCGTTAAACTCCCATACAGCGACTTGGTCTTTGGTGATACCCGCTCTCTTGAGTGCGATGGGTACCGCCTTAGCTGGAGCGATGGGGAAATCGATAGGATCGACCGCGGCATCGGCCGAGCCGCAGATCTTTGCCAGCACTCGAGAACCGGAACCGTATTTTTGCGCAATCTCCTTGCTGCCCAAAACAAGTGCACTAGCACCGTCGTTCAGCGTGGAGGAGTTGGCAGCAGTAACAGTGCCGGTGCCGTCGCGCACAAAGGCTGGCTTCAGAGTAGGCACCCTGTCGAACTTGACGTCGAGGTATCCCTCATCAGACTCAATGACTGTGTCGCCCTTCCTTCCGGGAACGGTGACAGGAGCGATCTCCTCGGCAAAGGCGTTGGCTTTCCACGCAGCCTGGGCGCGCTTGTAGGACTCGATAGCGTACTCGTCTTGCATCTCGCGAGAAATCTCGTACTTCTTAGCGGTGTTCTCGGCGCAATTGCCCATGTGGAATTTATCGTAGACGTCAGTCAACCCGTCCTTGATTAGGCCGTCCTCCATCTGGACATGGCCGAATGGCGGTAGGCTCGAAGCGCGCGGCACGTAATACGGCACCCTCGTCATATTCTCCATACCACCAGCAACCTGCGCCTCTGAGAGACCGAGCTGGATGTTTTGTGCAGCAAAAACGACAGCTTTCATGCCAGATGCGCAGACCTTGTTGATGGTAATTGCTTCCACACTAGACGGGAGACCGGCAAAGATCAAGGCCTGGCGAGCCGGCGCCTGCCCAACGGATCCTTGTAGGACATTACCCATGTACACGTCGGTGATCTTATCGACGGGGACTTTGGACTTTTCGATTGCGGACTTGATGGCGACGGCGCCCAGCTGCGGCGCAGTGACACTCGTGAATGAGCCATTGAACTAGCGGCCGTGTCAGTAATAATAGCTTTGTAGAAGATACCTTAACTGTTTATTGTTACCTTTGCTGTCGGTGTTCTCGAGGCACTAATAATATATGCGTCCCGAATCTCTTGCCGAAGCGCAGCTCGCGTGGAGAACTGACGGGAAGCCGCTTGCCTAGCCAATTGGCTAGGAAGCCTCGATGATTGTCTGACAAACATGGTGGAATATGTTACAAATGGTATCCGGTATTTCGCAGCAGAAATACACAAAGTGATAGCGACTTGAGACGATATTGCAGAGGGAAAGAGGAAGAAAGAAAAAAGATAGGATGGTGGCTTGACAGTTTACTTCGAGAGGGATGAAGCGAGCATGTGGAAGGCGCGGGATGACAATACCCCAGGTTCTGCGGTCTTCCTCGGCTTAAGAGGGGGGGTGCCTGAGAGGTACAAGGGCGGGGCCGAGCTTCTAAGTGAGGAGTGAGGTCACTTCCCAAGTTTCCCCCAGGTCTTGAAGAACCGATCCCCCACCCCGGACCGTGGAAGTAGGGCCAATTCCGCTCGGAAAGCTCGTCGGGCCAAAGGGGTGGAACCGGTTCCGGCTGCTGCTGCAACGATGTCACTCTTTGCCTGCATTTTGAATGACATTCCCCCCCCCCCCCGGAATTTCGCGGCATACAGATGATCACTGTTATGGCAATCCTGCAGCGCAACTATAAATACCTTTGAACAAGTCCTCCATCGAACGAAGACTCAGCCCGCGTATGCAAAAGACAAGCTATACCTCGCTAGTATGCAAGTTGGTGCATTTGAGTATCTTTGTATATACTGCCTCTTGAGGTAAGCTAGATGCGACTCTCAACAATATGACAAAATAGCAAGCGATATTCATGATTTACACCCAATCAGTGTCTGTCAGAAGCACCTCAGTTGAATGGTCCAACTTGCGGTCCAGACAGTGTCATGGAGAGACAGGAGGCTTGAGTCGTGACTGCCCGCGGGCGTTTGGTGTTTAGGTACCTAAGGTATTGGAGACTCCAGGTCTCAAGTGCCATTCTGTTATCGGGTGATTCGCGCTTAGTATCGCTCAACATGATTGGACCAAAATATGAGACCCACCCACTGGCCCAAGCGGAAGGCGGTGGTGAAGGCGAGTGCTTCCCGCGCCATTCTTTCGGACTCTCGCCTGTGAACCATATGACCATTCTGCAACGTTCTCCATCACACATCGTAAGTGACAGAGATCTCCAGAAATTTCAGCATTCCCGATACCCAGCGAGGATATATACGCCGACCGCCCACGTTTCGAACCGAACGCCTGGTTCTCGTCCGTCCTTCCTCGACGGCAGTTGCGATCCTCTGACCCCTCAGTCTTGGTAATCAGTCACCGACCGCCACCATGTCTACCGCCGCCCGCCGTCGCTTGATGCGTGACTTCAAGGTAAGCTACGATGCCCAGAATGAAATTTTTTTGGTGTATGATTCTGACGCATCGAGTAGCGTATGCAGACTGATCCTCCCGCTGGCGTTTCCGCCTCGCCCGTCCCCGACAACGTCATGACCTGGTATGCTCGACCAAACCCCGAATCTGCCGAATGTGCCGACGATGACTGACAAGGCTTGATTTAGGAACGCCGTGATTATTGGTCCCGCCGATACTCCATTCGAAGACGGTACTTTTAGACTCGTCATGCAGTTCGAGGAGCAATACCCCAACAAGCCACCCGCGGTCAAGTTCATCAGCCAGATGTTCCACCCGAATGTCTACGCTACAGGAGAGCTTTGCTTGGATATCTTGCAGAACCGCTGGAGTCCTACATATGATGTCGCGGCTGTGTTGACGAGCATTCAGAGGTGAGAGCTGTTTTACTCGAGGGATCCTAGGTGCCAGTTTGCGAGCTACGAAGCTGATTTTGGCTAACTCGCATCATTAGTTTGCTTAACGACCCAAACACGGGCTCCCCAGCGAACGTTGAAGCGTCGAACCTCTACAAGGATAACCGCAAGGAGTACACGAAGCGGGTTCGTGAGACTGTCGAGAAGAGCTGGGACGATTAAATCGACATGACTATCACGACGCATACATACGACTGTTATGAATGAGAATGTTCGCGCCTTACTTCAGCAGGGTATGGCTCGTGTAGGAATAAGCTGCTGGGCTGTGAGGGGATGCTAGAGGGCCGAACGAGGGGCAGATTGACATGAGCTACACCCAGGGCTGACCAGACAGATGTCTTGATCTTCTTCGCATTAAGCAACTGGGGTACCCGATGAGGTGGGAGTGGGGGGATTTGGCGTTTCGGCTCGTACTGTCCTCTCTAAGTGGCTTTTGGGGCGACCCCATGTTGCGATAGGCGTTTCGTGGACGTGCTTTGCTTTTCCTATCCGTTGAGTCACCCGTCGTCGGTGACGTTAGGTTCGTCTTCATCTGGCTTTACAGGGGAGTTCGCGGGAAGTGCATTTGGGACCTCATAAGTAGCGAAATACCAAATCTGTTGAACAACATGCGGCCCGTAGTTGTTTATTATGAATTCACAGGCAAAAGCGGAGCAGTCCACCATAACAAAACTCGGCCAAAAGGCCAGTCCCCAACTCCCAGTCCACTTGGTCAACCGTGCAAAGTGCAAACTCTCGTCAGCAAATCTCTGTCGCGTGCTCGGCCGGATGTTCCTCTAATTAGTGTGCCATGCGCCGGGCCATCTGTAGTACCAACATGCCTGCCCGTGATGGTCAGTGTCCAAGTGCAGCCAGTCCCGTTGGGCACTGCATGGCCGATGCGTGCCACTGTATCCGTCCATTCCAGCAGTAGAACAGGGGACTTTACCTGTCTGGGATGGGGACCCCTCGGCTGTGCTTTGGGAAAGACGACGAGGTGGGGATGAAACGACCAGCGTGAAGTGACCATGGCGGGATGGGATTGGTTTGTTTTTGGGCCTGAATACCTAGTACCTTACCTTACCTTAGCAGTGACTTGTGACTTTGGGAACTGAAGGAACGGTGGGAAGGTACCCGTGGACCTTGCTTTCCCCCTCTGCATCTGCATTCTGTGCTCTGTCTTGCTGCCATCAAATAATTCTACGCGATTTCTAGCGCGTCCCGTCATTTGCATCTCAACCCCCCAAAAGCCCCCCCAAACCCCGTTTTCCAAACAATACAACCACACATCTCCCTCCTCTCTCGCTTTCTGACCGACTGCCTTTCTGGCTGCTACTGCCGCTGGTTTGTGCTGTCGCTGTTCCTTTCTCCTTGCATCATCGCCCTGCAACACCTGCGATATGTCATTCTAGCAGCCTTTCCACATCCGCACACCGTCATTTCATCCCACCCGCCTTGTTTGTGTGTGTCCTTTCAACACAAACCCCCCGTTGCCGAGCTGCGGCCACCGAGTGCCTCGCAACCTCAACCCCCCTATCTCGCAACATCTTGTCCCGATCGCAACCTCACGACCCCGGCTTCGACCTCTCTTGGTCTGAAATACCGTCACCATGTCTGGCGCAAACAACAGTATCAAGGTCGTCGCCCGATTCCGTCCACAGAACAAAGTGGAACTGGCGTCGGGCGGCCAACCCATTGTCTCCTTCAGTAGCGAGGAAACATGTACTCTCGACGTAAGTGCCTCCCTGCCTGGCGCTTGACATCGCGCATGCCGGCACCAAGTTGACTCATATACTTCTAGTCCAAGGAAGCCCAGGGCTCCTTCACCTTCGACCGTGTCTTCGACATGGAGTGTAAGCAGTCCGATATTTTCGACTTTTCCATCCGATCGACCGTCGATGATATTCTCAATGGTTACAACGGAACCGTCTTCGCCTATGGTCAGACGGGTGCCGGAAAATCCTACACCATGATGGGTTCCAGCATCGACGACGAGGAGGGTCGAGGTATTATCCCCCGTATCGTCGAACAAATCTTCGCCAGTATCATGTCTAGTCCCAGCACTATCGAGTACACGGTTCGAGTCAGTTATATGGAAATCTACATGGAGAGGATTCGCGATTTGCTTGCGCCCCAAAACGACAACCTTCCCGTCCACGAAGAAAAGAATCGCGGTGTCTACGTCAAGGGCCTTCTCGAGGTCTATGTCTCCAGCGTCCAGGAAGTCTACGAGGTTATGAGAAGAGGTGGAAACGCCCGAGCCGTTTCTGCAACCAACATGAACCAGGAATCTTCCCGTTCGCATTCCATCTTCGTCGTTACCATTACCCAAAAGAATGTCGAGACCGGATCGGCAAAGAGTGGTCAGCTTTTCCTGGTCGATTTGGCCGGTAGCGAAAAGGTTGGAAAGACCGGCGCCAGTGGTCAGACGCTGGAGGAAGCAAAGAAGATCAACAAGAGTTTGAGTGCTCTCGGAATGGTCATCAACGCCTTGACCGACGGCAGATCATCCCACGTCCCCTACCGCGATTCCAAGTTGACCCGTATTCTCCAAGAATCTCTGGGAGGTAACAGTCGAACAACACTCATCATTAATTGCTCTCCCAGTAGTTACAACGACGCTGAAACCCTCGGCACCCTCCGATTCGGTACTCGTGCAAAGGCAATCAAGAACAAGGCCAAGATCAACGCCGAGCTCAGTCCCTCCGAACTCAAGGCACTACTCGGCAAGGCCAGAGGCCAAATCTCGACTTTCGAAACGTATCTCTCAAATTTGGAAGGCGAAGTTCAGCTCTGGCGTGCCGGGGAGGCCGTTCCCAAGGACAGATGGGTGGCCCCCTTGTCCGCAGATGGCGTAGCCGGGACCAAAGCCGAAGCAAAGGCGCCTCGTCCTTCAACACCTTCCCGCCTCCTACCCGACAGCAGATCCGAGACCCCAGCCATCTCCGAGCGATCAGGAACTCCAAGCTTACCACTCGACAAGGATGAGCGCGACGAGTTCCTGCGCCGGGAGAACGAGCTCCAGGACCAGATTGCCGAGAAGGAGTCTCAGTTCAACGCAGCAGAAAAGACTCTTCGGGAGACCAAAGAGGAGCTTGCCTACCTCAAGGAGCACGATGCAAAGACTGGGAAGGAAAATGAGAAGCTGAACGGGGAGGTGAACGAGGTCAAGATGCAGATTGAGCGACTTACCTTTGAGGGCAAGGAGGCGCAGATCACCATGGATGCGCTCAAGGAGCAAAATGCCGAGCTGACTGCAGAGTTGGACGAGGTCAAGCAGCAGCTTCTGGACGTGAAGATGAGCGCCAAGGAAACAAGTGCCGTCCTCGATGAGAAGGAGAAGAAGAAGGCTGAGAAGATGGCCAAGATGATGGCTGGCTTCGACCTTGGCGCCGATGTGTTCAGCGACAACGAGAAGGCTATCTCGGAGGCTATTTCCCAACTGGAGGCCCTTCACGAGGTCAGCTCCACGGGCGAGGTTGTCAACCCTGATGAGCTTCAGGCTCTCAAGTCGCGCTTCGTCGAGATCCAAGGAATCGTTAGACAAGCTGAGCTGTCTGTCTACAGTGCTTCCTCGAGCGAAGCCGATGCCCGTCGCAGAGCCGAGCTCGAAGACCGCCTCTCGGCTCTCCAGCAGGAGTACGAAGAGCTCCTGACCCGCAACCTTGGGGAGAACGATGTCGAGGAGATTAAGGCTCGCCTGGAGAGTGCCTACTCCAACAAGCAGACCACGTCTATGGAGCTTGTTGATGAGCTCAAAGCTGAGATTGCCCAGAAGGCTGCCGAGAACTCCAAGATGAAGACCCTTATCGAGGATCTCCAACAGAGAGTCAAGGCTGGTACCGCCGCGCCCATGGCGAATGGCAAGTCGATTCAGCAACAGATTGCCGAGTTTGACATTATGAAGAAGAGCCTTATGCGCGATCTTCAGAACCGTTGCGAGCGTGTGGTTGAGCTCGAAATCTCGCTTGACGAGACAAGAGAGCAGTATAACAACGTGCTCCGCTCATCCAACAACAGGGCCCAACAGAAGAAGATGGCCTTCCTGGAGAGGAACCTTGAGCAGCTAACTCAGGTTCAGCGCCAGCTCGTCGAGCAGAACTCGGCACTGAAGAAGGAGGTGGCCATTGCTGAGCGTAAACTCATTGCTCGTAACGAGCGCATCCAGAGCTTGGAGAGCCTGCTACAGGATAGCCAGGAGAAGATGGCTTCTGCGAACCACAAGTACGACCCCCTTGCGATTCATGTTTCTGTCTACCCTTCAACCCCTCAATCTCTGTTGTCTGTTTTTGCTTTGCGCCGTACCATTGCTAACGATTCGTGTTCTGTAGGTTTGAGGTTCAGCTTGCTGCTGTCAAGGAGAGGCTGGAGGCAGCCAAGGCTGGCAGCACTCGCGGCCTGAACTCTCCCTCGTTGGGCGGCTTCAGTTTTTCTGGTGCTGGCAGCCGCATCGCCAAACCCCTCCGTGGTGGCGGTGCTGATAACCAGGGACCTTCCATCCCTGTCATCAACAGCATCCAGCAGAACGAGGGCAGCGCCGGCAAGCGAAGCAGTTGGTTCTTCTCTCAGAAGTCTTAAGTTGCATACCGCATGCCCTGTTATACCCTTGATCCTTTGGGGCACCCTGACGTCGGGAGACCGTACAGGGAGATACGCCCTCACCCTTCGAATAGACGCACGACAACGTACAAGTTAGATCACAGCTTGATGCGGACTAGACCGCTATACCCCCGCTGTGTTGATCCTGACGGCGGCAAGACTCCCTTCCTCTTCGCAGAGGCCTTTCTTCACCTTGGTTCTTCTTGGTCAGTATACTGGAGAAGAAGAAGACGACGAAATATGCAAAAGATTCACATGCAAGCTCGAGCACAAATTACGGAACTGGGAAAGAAGGGGTTTCCCTCTCCCTTTTGATGTTGAATTTTCTTCTTCCTCCTTTTCTTTTGTTTGGGCGGGTCTGCATTGCTGTTGGATTCTGGCTTTACAAGCAAGTTTCTGGGCGGTCTTTTGTCATTTTCGGTCAAGAAAGGAGGATTTTGGTGGCCGTGGGAGGGAATAGGGTCGAAGGGAAACGATGAGATCCCTTTTGTGTGTGAGGGTGGACGACCGACACCACGAGAACATACAGAATGGATGAGAAGAACGGCTGACGAGACAAAACACTTTTTGCCTTCTCGCCGCTGCTGCTGCATTGTCTAGGGAGTTGGTATTGTTCACGAAAGGACCTCACTACTTATGAAACCCAAGACATTTGACGGTTTAATGACACTAGAAAGAAAGACTTTGGCTGTTCACGTTCTGATGATGATGATTATGGTGATACATTGATTTCAATCTTTCATTCTCTGTTTTGTTTGGGTATGGAGTTGTGATAACAATACTAGAAGCAGAGACTATCCAGCCAGCTAAGAGACGATTTAGTGCATGTTGAGGCGCAAATTCAAGTACAGCGTATCAAGCTTTATCCGCTTCCTTCCCATCAACGCATCCTTGCGAGCCTTGAAGGGCGTAACCGATTATATAAGTGCAATAGCCTTAGAGTTGATAGAGATGGCGTCTGGAGATTTCAAGTGCCAGCCAAGCATTTATTTGGCGAGCTTGCTGAAGACGATGATCTCGGGAATGACAACAGCGGCCATGAGCGCAAAAGCGGCAAAGGAGACGGCAAAGATCTTGACATAGAGGATGACGAGGCGCTTCCACGCGTTGCGGGAGAAGCCGCTCCAGGCGTCGTCCATGGTGGCGTAGCCCTTGCCTCCGACGACGCGGGGCTCGACCTTGCCCTTGAAGGAGCGGTCAAAGGGGATGATGGTGTTTGCCTCCTCGGGGATGAGGGAGGCCTGGACGCGGACGAGGACGACGTGGGCAGGGATGACGATGATGATCTGGAAGGCGATGCTGATGAGGGTGATGACGATGCTCTTCCAGGCGTCGGAGCTCTGGGGCTGGGAGACGACCGAGTTGGGCTTGCCGAACTGGAAATTAGGGAGGTCGAGGCCGAGAGCCCAGCCGACGGCGATGGGGACCCAGGTGGCGACCTGCTCTGCGAGCCAGTAGGCGGCGACGGGCTTCGCGGTGGCGTCAAAGGTGCGCTTGAAGGGGGGCAGTCGCTTCCAGAAGTAGTCGGAGCTCGAGGGGGTGATGACGATGTGGACCCAGACGGCGGAGAGCTGAACAAGGGCGAGAGCGGAGAGGAGAGTCGCGAGGGAGGCGAGGATGTCCGGGAGGAAGGAGGAGAAGATGCCAAAGAGGAAGTTGGTTGCGAGGGCCTGGACAAAGTAGACGCCGAAGCCGCGGAAGTTTGAGCGCCAGCCGCCGTAGGTGGTCAGGAGGCGGTTGATGGAGCGGATGGAGGAGGTGACGGTGGTGGGGCGGCCTCCGGTCACCTTTGTTTGGGGGACGGGGCCGTCGGGGCGGACCTCGGGGCCAGCGGAGGGGATGGCGCCCTCATCTTCGGCGAGGTTGACGGGGTCGTAGGCGGGCGGGTTCTCGTCCTCGACGATGGCGAAGATGGGGTAGACCTGGTGGAGGGTATAGGACGTCTAGACGGTGCATGTGTTAGTGGGAACGGGTTCATGATATGAAGGGCCGCACTGAAAGTGGCCTCGGAAGGGAGGCGGGAGACAAGGCTTACCCAGAGGATGATGGGGAGGAAGACGATGAAGTCAGCGAGGAAGACCCAAAAGGACCAGCCGGGAAGCTCGGGTTCGCGAGGAGTCTCTTCGACGGCCCTTTTGTAGACGGCGTCGGCAAAGTGCTGCAGCCGCGTGTACATGTTTGCGGTTTGATATGCTCCCAAAATCAAAATTACGATGATGATGATGATGATGCTGGAAAAAAGTACAAATGTTGGAGTTTGAAGGTTCTCTTAAATGAAGGGAAAGAATGAACCGTCAGGAAATGGAGGGGTGTCAGACGTCAAAAGGGAAACGAGCTCTAGGCGGCGATTCACTTGAACATGTCACTGGTCACTGCGCAGCTCCTGCGTCGGGGGGTTCACCTCATCCAAGGTACCTTGACGTGACGCGTGAGACGCACCGGGGAGGAAAGTACCCTGCAGACGAAGTACTGCTACCCGTACCTAAGGAAGTACGCCGCCCGGGATCTTGGGGAGGCGTGAATGCACGACCTAATGGATAGCGGCAGCTTTTCACCAGGCAGCAGGCTGACACAGCCACTTTCCGTGCTCCACTAAATCCTTCCACATTGAACATTTCGCCTCCCCAAGAGCCAACGGAACGGGCGGTATCGTGGAACGGAGCAATGGCGATGCGCCGCGCCGTACGACCTCTGACTCTCGGACAAGCGAGGAATAAGCGACAAGCGACGAAGAGCGAAAGCCCTGGATCGAAGCCAAGAATACGAAAGCAATTTGTTTGTCGATTCAGGATTATCTTGGCTTTGAGCAGTGTCGCCAGGCAGGGAGGGCTGTTGGGCTTCTGGAACCAGGTTTCTGTGCCGCCCGCGTGCATGCTTGCTCACCTACAATGTGTGCAACTTCACGCCGGTTCGCGCTTTTCCACTTGCTTTTTCCAGTTTATTCGTTGAGATCAGGTAATGTGCGGGCGCCCGGCCAGAGTTGACTTGTTTACGAGGCTGTCGACTTTGAAAATATACGACGCTTGCGTCGCCTTATTCCGTGATGGCTCTGTTCGCCTTTTGGTCTTTTGAGGGAGAGGAGGTCGCCTGCATGAAACCTGATATTTGGCCTTTCCTTTCTCTGGTGCGTAGTGTCCTGTCTTTGCATGATTGGAATCGGACTCTGTTCGTCGGTTTCGAAAAAGTCTCTATGCCATCCGTGATATCGGACGATCCCTACAACGAAGTTTGAGAGCGGCGCATGTTCCTGAAGCTTATTCGGTCATGAGGCGCCCGACCCCGACATATCCGAAAGGATCCGGACATTTGTTTTGGGGTCCCCTCAGACGCTGGCCCCCATAATTAGTGTCTTTGTGAATGATGTCTACAGCCGATTGATACAATGTTGAGCCATGCGCGCTCGGTGTTTATTGAACCTTTTGATCTCCATGCTCTAAAAGACTACATTATAATTCGAGTGTAACTCATCCGGAGCCAACTTTGAGATCTTGACATCTAAGTCTATGTGCAGACTTAATTTAACTTGCCCAATAGATAGATCCGTGAGTATTTGTGTTGGTATACTTGTACGTGTAGATCTTGTTCTCGCTGCCATATATTGATTTCGTAGGCACACTGTATGGACCAGTGACGGGCAATGTGTTGGTATTCGGCATGTGGTGTCAGATTCCACAATGTTTACCTCCCAGGGGTTGGCTCTGTTGGCTCATCAGATACCGTCATACTTTTGGGTTTTCACACATCCTGATTGATCATGACACTCGAATGAGTAGAATATTGGTGACGTTGGTCGAAGGGCGTTCGAATTGGATTGGGCTGCCATCGAATTCGCGAGCTAATTGACAAGGTATTCATTCCTGGGGGTAACGGGTCGATACTGGCGCTGTGTCCTGCAAAAGAAATGCGAATGCTACATGGCTATATCGCTTCGAGGTGTACCAACCTTGTCAAAAGATGATCCGGGAACGGTGGAAAACTACTGGTGTGATTTGAAACAGAAACATGAATAGGTGAGGTCTACATGACTGTGAACACTGTGAGCTTCATCCCATTTCAGCACCAAGGTGCTATGCAGCTTCTGCATCTTTCTAAGTCCTCAGTGTTCGCAAGCAGCGCTCTGATGGAGACTGCTTATTTGAATCGTCTGGAATTCCGAAATTCGAATGCTCATACGAGAAGTGAGTACTGAAAAGGGATCAAAAGTCTGGTATGGGTGAGTACTGATTCCGGCTATCTAATATACAGAACGTATTCAATCCTAATGGTCAGAAAAGTCAGCTAAACCTACAACATGTACAGATATGCTCTCATATTTGCTCTTTATTTGTAAGATTCCCCCAGAGATAGCTTGCACATACTTAGCAAAATAGGGAAGACGACGTTACGGGAGTGCCAGAAAAGGGCCCTAAGTGGACGACGGAGCCGGCTCCGGACCGTTGAAGGCGGTTGGGCACGGGCCATACCCTATTCCACTGATTGACACGCAGCGTTGCACTACGATGCCCCACCTAACAGTTCCCCTCCTACGTCACCCACACCTACACTTCACTGTTGCTGCTACCGGAACATCTTCCAACTCACGCCCGCTCCCCGCAACAACATCCCTCATGTCTGGACATCCGATACCAAATCTACTCTCTCTCCGCGGAGCGAGAGGTGGCCGGGTCGGTCGCGGACACGGAAGAGGTCCTGGCGGCGGCCCCTCATCCTCGGGCCCGACTCACGATCAGACGATTCAGGGGACTGACGATGACGCTGCCGGCTCACGTTTGAGTGCCGTCAATGTGGGATATCTCGCCGACCCCTACGCCCACTTCTTTGTCGACAACATCAATGGACCCCCTCCAAGGAGACTCCCAATCATCAATCGAGGTCCGTGTCTCTGGCCTGCTTCCGTCGAGTATGGAGGTTGACCGCTATTTCAGGCACTTACACGAGGACCGTTGCTCTCGATAATCTCATTGACAGCTTCTTGGACG